CCCAATATTCATAGACAAAATAAATGATCATATTATCATTATAGTATCTATTGAAAAGAAACATGTTGATGAGTACGGAATTCCAGAAGCATGTTTTGATTACTCAGATTGTATTCAGGAGGAACAAAAACTAAAGAGACAGTCTTAGAATGGGGTTAAGTATTTAAAAGGTTTGAATATGATATGATTTTGTTGCGATATAGTATTCAAACCGGTTTCTCCAAATAAATTAATATAAGGTCTAAGTTCAAGTCGTCGCATATTTGAACATTTCCATCGAATTAATAACTGTGTTAAAATTTGATAGCTGTTGTTCATTAGATTGATAAAAAAGTATTCAAAGGTTGCCTTTACTTCTAACTTTCAATGTTTAGTTTAAATACAACTAATTATAAGTTAACTTCTCCTTTTCTGTGGTGTTAAAAATGTTCTTCTTGTTTGCTGCTAATACTTGCAATACCTACTGTAGAGACATTAGGATTTTTCGGAAGCAGACCTGATGAAAAATTAGCAATCGCCTTCGCCGGGAATCAAACTATGGACCTCTGAAATACCAGATTAATGCGCTGACCACTACACCACGAAGGCCCGCTAGGAAGGTGGGAGAAATACCTTATAATACGAAGGAAGAATATTAAACACACTAGGCCAAGAAACATAAAGAATAAACTATGTTCTTGCCAGAATTCGAACCATGGATCTTCTGTTTGCTAGCTTGACATGCTGACACCACGAGAATGCACTCATGAGACAGTTCTTTGCATTTTTTCCCCGCTTAAATGTCGACCAGGAAAGAGGTACATGACCCACTCGACTAAATACTGGTGGTGACGAAGAGATATTTTTCACAAAAGGGAACGTGGAATTTGGGCAGGAAAAATCAGTCAACTCGATTCAACAAGATTCGAAACACAGGTTTCCACTACTAATTGGACGTGCTAGCATGTGCACATGCACAATTGCTGGCACTTACACTATGAGAGCACGTATAAGGAAATCCAATTGTTTTTACACACTTTTGGATTAAAGTCTAATCTTTAAATATTTCTATAATTGTATGATCAAGCATATCACAGATGTCTTTATTTGATGAATTAAAGATTAAAAATACATGGGAGCTCACATATAGAAAACTTCAGTTTTTCCACTTAACATTGCAGAATTTGATAACGAATTTAATTTGAATTCTTTCATTATCTGACATATAAGATTACATTTTAAACCTAATTCTACACAATATAAAATTCTCATGAATGAAAAATATGAGATACAAGTATTTTAGTCTTAAATCATATGGATATATGATTAGTCGTGTTAACTATCCGATATAAAATATAAAGAAAAAATAATTGATATAAATATAATGTTCTGATAAGTAATTATTCTCAACATTACATTGGAGTTAAATTTAACACAAAAAGTCAGATGTTTTCGAGAGGACCTTTACTCCATCTGTTGGAAAAATGAATCCATTAATTAGTAGAAAATCCTTTTCATGAATAACTTTCCTTACCGCATCAAAAATGCCGTAGAGACTTTCAGTGTCAGAGATCTAAAGGTCGCCTTCCGATACCGCAAATCAATAGAAATATCTGTGAAATAGGAGAAAAAAATAAATAACGTAGATATTAGTATTTCCGATTTCATTCACACCAACTGTAGCTTTAAACTAACGAATACTTACTGAAGAACTATCTAAGTTTATGGTACCAATTTGAGTTTGAAAAATGTGCCTACATTCTTTTATTCAGTATCTTCTGCTGAAAGTAAGTATTCACATATTTAAGTCTAGATTACTGAAATATTCGTGATGATTATTTCTTAGAATTATATGTAACTCTATGAATCTTATAATTCTATGAATGAATTCTTAGAATTCTATGAATCGTCTTAGAATTATATGAATATTATTCGAAGCGCACAAAACATTCGAGCTCCTCTGTAAGAGGTTATATTTAAACCCAACCTTACATGGAGTCAATGGCATCTATGTAATTTTATATCCTTTGTGTTAATAAATAATGCCTAAACGCTAAAAACATTTTATTGCAATAAAACTGTTCTTTTTTCCTCTGCAAATACTTCATCAAACTTGAAAGTACATTATTCCATAGATATTTAATTTTCTTTGAAAACCTCAATTTTTCAAAATCTTTTGATTTAAATTTTTAAGCTTCCTGAGAAATCTTTTGAAATACAATATTAAGATTAGTTTTTGTGGAAATTAAATTAATTTCAAACCTCTAAATGTCATATACAAATTATATAAAATCATAAAAGTATCTGACTACTTTATTTATTATTTTGCTCTATGAAGCATTTAATCTTAATATTTTCTTTAATAATTTAAAACCTTTCTTGAAGATATCTCTTTTGTATGAAGTTAAAATAAACATCAAAGAAAAGTGTTCTATAAAATCAAGTAATTAATTTTATAAGGGGGATTTACGAAAATTTAGTTAAGCAATTGTAGAGAGTCAAACGCTGTTGAATTGAGCTCATCTGCAAGCAAATCATCTTGTGTTCTAGATTAATATCTTGCGCGTTCATTGAAGTTCAAAGAAGAAAGTGAACTTTAAATATTTCTTTTCTAACTCTCAATTTCTATGTTTCCTGAGTTACAGATATTCATACTTAACTTGGTTAGAAATTAGTGTCTAATTGTCTCAGGATAAATTAAATATATGCTTTTCTTTCATTTTGTCTTAAACTAAATTTCGAAATCGTATTACTATTCATCATATAAAAACAAATTTCGAAATCGCAGTTTATTTGTAATTTTGAATCATTCATCATATGAAAACTAATTTCTAAATCGTAATTTATTTTTAATTTGGAAGGCATATCATCGTGTACGAAATTAACTACAATGATATCTTAGTAAAACTGAGTCCAAATGCAGCTAAGCTTCATGTACTTACGAAAGCCAAAGTTTAGGCGTAATCAGTTGAAATCACGCTGTTGGCATTTTCTTGTAGTAAATTCTTAAAATAAAGATGTAAATTGGTATAAATTAAGTTCATAATTTTGTCTGAGAAATGCAGTGTTTAATATTATCAAATAATTCAAACAAGAAATTGTTAATTATTGGTCTGTGTATTGTATTTAAGAAATATTATCGTTGTCGCTCAATTAAAGATATCTCACCATAGTTTGAACTTCTTTTTTTTAGGTTCTAAGTAAAATGACCACTTTTAATGAAATGACAGACTTATGAAATCTGACATATATGTACATAAAATATACTTAGTAACTACCCGTTAAATGCTCCTTGTACATCCTCTTGCTTTCTCAGAATAACTCTCCCAAGATACCCTAACGTTGCCGAAAATTGCTAAGAATTGTACATTATATGAACGGTGCTTTTAAGAACTACCTTGAAATAATCATTCTGAAAATGTCCATTGACATCTAAAATCTCTATCAATATTCTGCTAAAATATTAGAATTCCCTTTAAAAAACCATTCATCTTCGTTGAATCCCTTCATCAACCTTTCAAACCTAAATCCTTAAATTGATTCTTGAATGCTGTGTTTAAATTATAAATGTTTCATACTCTTTTGATATGCACAATTATGGTCTCAACAGTTTTGCTACTTAGGTTAGCTTGAAATTTGCCTCTGACATGTGGTTTTCTGTGACATGAGAATTACAGAAAATCTTATTTTTTTTCCGCATTCTCTGCAAGACACATTTTTAAATCATCCAGATCTTCTGAAATCATTCTTAGGCGTATATTAACGTCTGCATAAACACATAATACGTATATGACACTTAAAGTATAATATTTAGCGATGATAATAATTAAGTTACATTCTTCAAGTTACAAGGTTTATTTTTGTTACCACCTTACCTTTTTGTTTACTTCCCTTCTATACCTTCTATTCCACCGTCAGCCTTTACCAGAATACATAAATTTCATAATGAATAGCGAGTGAATGTGTAGTTTTGAGAACGTACTGTGGCAACCATAAAGCATCTTATAAATCTGTGAAGAAACGTCCCACAGCAATTATGTAGACTGATGAATATTTTTTTTTATTTACTAAGGATTAAGACTAGGATACTATTTCCTGGAGCTGAGTTAAATAAATTTGGACGGCGATCGCGCGCTTTATCTATTTAAATACCTGAGTTCTTGAGATATTGGAAGAAGAGTTAGTTATTGTTTATTAATTTTACGTTGTAAATTATAAGGAGTACTCTATTAAAACTTTTAATAACGTGTTACTGTTTCTCTGTGTTAACTGAAGTTTTTTAGACTTTTCTTCATCAAGAAAGAAAATTCGTCTGTTCCTAGGTGAAAGAAAAGTTAGTGCAATTAATTTGTTAATTAAGCTTAATCTAGCCAACTTATTGTTCGTATCTGTATGCAACTAAAAATCGTTTTTAAGCACTTTATCTAACTTGAATTTGTACGCATATACGTCGTGCTGTTATTTGCATATAGCATAAAAAAGATCTATAACTTTGATACGTATATATGTAGTGTTGTTATTTACGTATAGCTGAGAAAACATCTTATTTACTCTTCGTAATCATAAATTATTAATTTTTTGCTAATCGAGGCCTAAAGAGTAAGAGATGAAACTTAAGTCAAGCTCTTTTTTTATGCGGATTGTCCATTTTGATAAAATTTTGGTTTTCTGTAATTTCTGTAAGAAATATATTCCTGACGTAATGAAACTAAATAAGTAAAGCATTTAAATCTATAAGATATGCAAGCCAACTTAAATTTTAAAACAGACGAATTTCGACAATAAAATAATTTAGCACTGATTTCAAATTAATAAAGCTCATCTCATTTAAAAGATGTATCTGATGAGGTTTTTTATCGTCTAGTTATTCTAGTTATAACACAAGCATTTGTTTTCTTAATTTATTTGTAAAAGAAAATTCAAAAGCTAAAAAAATGTTTGAGGTGAAGCGGGTAAAACTTGTTTAAAAACCTGTAGAGACATTAGAATTTTTGCTGCTGAGAGACGTGAAAAATGAGCATTGCCCTCACTGGGATTTGAACCAAGGACCTCTCGAATGCGCGCCGAGTGTGCTAACCACTACACCACGAAGGCATGCTAAGAAGGCGAGAGAAATGCCTTATATACTTCCCCTTTTAAAGGGCGACTTGGGATTAGGGGACCCAACAGCCAAATGTTGGTGGTGGAGAATCATCATCCACTACTTTTTTTAGTTCGGGCGCCAGTGTAGAGGCATTAGGTTATTTCAAAACATGAGAAGATGAAAAATTAGCAATACCCTCGCCGGGAATCGAACCACGGACCTCTCGAATACGCCCCGAGCGTGCTGACCATTACACCACGAAGGCATGCTAAGAAGGAGGGGAAAATACCTTATAAACCAAGTTAAGATATCTAATTTATTAACTGAAGAGTTTTATGAATAAATAATGGTTGAATTATGTTTTAAGAAATTATTTCGTTAAAATTATCCCAAAAGCACATATGTTAGAATAACAATGGAGCATTTTGTTATTTATGTTTATCTTCAACAATACTCTTTAGAAGAGCAGCGAATTATTTGCGCTGCAATTATATGTGCTTTCAAGACAATGAAATAAGCGCGGTGCACTTCGGGAGATGAGAAAACTCACATTTCAGTTTTATAAGTTTAGTTCAAATAAACTCATTTCATTTTTAAGATTTTTGCTGTTAAGGGGACTCATACACCTTAAAACCCATAAGATATTCGAATAGGTGACTGTTGCAAGAATTGGGATAACTTATTTATTTTAAAAGCAATTACTACCAACTTTTTACAGCTGACTACATAATATAGCTGCTTTCTGAAACAATAATCAAAAAGTTTGTGTTGCCACAAATATTTTTATAATTTAATCCGCTTTGTGACAATATTTTTCGTCATGTTTCCAACTTGCACGCACAGTTTAAAACATTCTGTTGCATAATTTAATTCCATATTAAATATATAGCTTTTATAACGTCTGGAAACTACTGTGAACCTAAAATTCTAAAAATTTCATGTTAAATTTTTATTTTATTTTGAGTTGAGTTTATAAAATTTATGTTATTTAAAGAATTTGTAATGTTTTCGTCCATAAAATTTTTCAATAGTAAAATATTCATCAGATTGTTGGTTCAGTTAAAAAATAGTGCTCATATAAAGAATTCCATCGAATTTCAAGTATGTAGCCGTTTTTAAAATATCGTGCGCGCAAGGTGGAAACATGACGAAATATTTTGTCGCAAAGAGGATTAATTTACAAAAATATTTGTGGCAACACAAACTTTCTGGTTACTAGTTTCCAAAGCAGCTATATCATGAAGTCAGCTGTAAAAAGTTGGAAGTAATTGCTTTTAAAATAAATAAAATATCCCATATCTTGCAATAGTCACATATTCGAAGATCATGAGGGGTTTAAGGTGTATGAGTCCCCTTAACACAATATTAATTAACATTACTTAATGAAATTAACATAAAATTTGAAGAGGAAGACGCAGAAAAACTTATTGGCAAGTAATTTATGATTTTGCGCTTTGACATCCAGCTGGTGATGAAAGTAGAAAATGAGGGAACAATATATTCGTTACAAAGTCATGCTTACCTTGTTGAGAATACTACGCGTTTGGAAAGGAATGTGTGTAAAATCAACTATACCGCCATCGGGATTCAAACCACAATGTCATCCAGCTGCTAGCTAGATGACCTTCGCTATACGAGAAAAACATTAGAACGATACCTTTATTCCTTTCAATCTTTTTAATGTAGTTAATCAGCATTACGTTTTACCTCATTTTATAACGCTGCGTAAGCCAATACCAAAACATGTTAAAACGACCGTAAACGACCAGTTGAAGGCAATTCCAGTATTCAATTTCCAGCACTCCTAGGAAGAGTGGAAAAGTCTTCTCCAACACTGAGTGGCTTCCAAACGTGTTTACATTATGTTCACAAATACCACGCTCCACCGAATAAGACACGCACCCGATTTTTTCGATGCACCAAAAAAGAAAATAATTTCCGCGAATATGGTGCACATATTTTCATCAAGCCCACTGAAAGCTTAATTTACAGAAAAAAATCTTTTTTCTGGATTATGAGCATAAAGAAACAAAGAAATATGATACCAATTGACGGCTATCGGGTAAGATATCTGCAGCTTTTGCAGCTCCTGCCTAAGTACGTATTAACCACATGCCCAGTAACATTTTAATGGGAAGAATTAAATCGTTATCAGAATTTAATTCTATGACAGAAAGAAAAATTGCTAATCTAAGTATGTTATATAAAATTGTATTCGTTAAACAACAGCTTCAATTAACAACAATCATTGCACTAAATATGGATTTAAAAGTCCCGAGTGATGCTTTAACATCTACCGGTAATCTAACAAAGGTAGATAATTTATCCCACCATGGCACTTCTTTTCACATTTTAGTGTTGTTGTTCTCACTTTATTACAATGTAGATTGTTAATCTTTCTCGACTTATGCGCTACTGTCATCACTGATGCTTTCCCGAACTGCTGTTCTATTCTTCCTCATCATCCCACACTGCTTAATCCTCACTTCCGGCCACGTTATTTGATATTCCGCACTTTTTAAGGCTCTTATCAACAATTTCTTCTGAAATTTCATCCCAGGCGGCTTTGATCCACCCGCAGATTCGAGTTATTTCGGGCTTCTTGATGCGACCAGTAGGTGTCAGTGCGTAATTTACAGCGGTCATCCATTCCGTGTACCTTTTTTTCAGTGCTGCTGCCAAGGTTATGAGTAAGAAGCCAAGTTCGGCAAAAACCGTTCAAAGAGTAACAGTTTGGTGGAAGTACTGTCATATCCTCTACAAATCCCCTGGCCAGGACTTTTTATTTGAGAGGGTACAGCAGCATCATATAACGTTATAATTTCTGGGGATACCGTAGCTTCGAAACGAAATAATTTATGCCGACCAACTTGCGTTTACCTGGCTTATATTGTTTTGTTTCGCGTTAAACCGCGCACCTCGATTTTTCCGATTAAAATTATCAAAATATCAGCGCGTGGTCATCATGAATATATGGTATTTTGAAGAAGACAACGTGGGATTGTAATCTTAATTGAATAAAATGTTATAAAAATCAGTCTCATTACTTTATTTATACACTTCATACTTGTAAGAATATTACAGTAACAGAGTTAAAAGCTCCAGTTAGCAAATCGAAGATTAAATAAATAGACAGCATTCTAGTACAACCAAAACTGAAATACGTACTCAGAAATATGCTACTACTAAAATCAGTAAACGAAAACTATACACGTAAAACAAAAGAACTAACATACATTTAGTGTAATCATATTTTGCCACGAAAGCCCTACTACTACCTTATAATGCTGATTATGATCCGCAAAATTTCCCATTCCGTGAGCCTCATGTTAGTTGCAAATAAATTCAGCAATTGTCAATTGTCAATTTAGCAATTGTAAATTTAGCAAAAAGTCAATAACTGACTAAAATTTAATGTGTGCTCAGCCACAATCTGCTTCAGGACATAAATAGAGATTAATACTTTTTGAAATGGATCATATTTTCGTAGAAAAAAATTTCTTGTCAAGACACTTCATTCTGAAGATGCTTCAACTAATGCTGATTCGTGAAGTGTTTAAGAAAATCATTGACATCAGGTTGTATTCCCAGATATACTGTTAATGACTATCAATAGGTAATTAAAAGCAGAGAATAAATGAAAATATTTATAGCAAGAAATATATGCAGGGTAATTTTATAAAAAAAGCACTTACTAGTTATCATAAAAATAAAGAAAAAATTAATTTTATTCTCTATATATTAAAAATGAATACTTCAGGTTCGAAAAAGATGCCTCAAACAACATCTTTTTGGAAACAAAAAAGCAATAAGATAGTTTCCGCTTCACAAATTACTAAAGGATAAATATTTAGTGCGTAAATCAATAAATTACAGATTTAAAATAAGCAAATCGGGAATTATTCATCGTTGTAAGGAAATCCTGAAAAAAGGTATTTTTCAGTAAAATGAGACAGAATAAACAGACGTTCTTTGAACTTTTAGAAGACAAAAAAATGTTTGTATAGATGAATTGAGGAAGGAATAAACTTTAATTTCCTAACCAAACTTATAGCTTTTGAAATAAAACCCCATTAAGCTTTGCTTCTTTTCGTTTAATTATAGCACACAAAATGCGGTTTTTTTTCAAAAATCTGTCGAATCTCATTATAATTAAATGTTTGCACTTAAGTTATCAGTTAATGAAAGTTCAAATAATAAAAGAATATTATTTTTAATCCTTTCAAAAAGCTATTATTGACTGCAGTTTCTGTCCTTCCTTATTTATATAAATTTTGAGAATTTATTACCATAATGATTATCACGTAATTTGATAGCCTTAAGCTGCAAAAGTAATGGGATTCTGAAGCTTAAACAATGTACAGCTATATAGCAGGATCGAAACCATTATTCATTTTATTGTGTTCCTAATTTTATATGAATCAGCCATCACTGTGACATAAATTGCTGTCAATAGACAACAGCTATTTTGAAAGCTATGGTTTCGTTTAAGGTGGCTATTTTATTGTATTATTTCAAAATATTTGCTAAATATTTTACCAGATTATTAGACTAAATAGATGTCCAAAATATGTAGAAATCTGTCTTTTTATGTATATATTTAAGTAGTTTTGCATTAATATTTATCCTTAATTAAATACACTTTTCTTTCGAAAAATCCAGAGCTCTCTAAATTTGACGAAACTGTTTTTTATAGCAAATTCCAAGAAAATTTTTTATCGTACCGAAGTGCATCCGAGGTTCCTTCCGTAATATAAGAATATTTTTTCTTTGTATTAGAAATAATTTTCTTGTAGACTGTTTCTCAATATTAAGAAAGAGACAAAGCATTCTGAACTTAAAACTGCAAGCTAACTGAAAAGGCGCCTAAAAACCACACTGGCCCCAATTTCTAAGCGCGTATCCCATTACACTCATCATTTTATTAAGCAAGCGAGCCATTTCTGTGTCTAGAGTCGTATATCTACGTAAAAGCTTACCGCAAATATATCGTACCGTAAGGCATTAGCCG